GAACAACAGCAAAACCAAAATTCACTGCCCCTGAGCTGATTTGAGCTTACAGCCACCCTGCAGGGCACAGCAGAATTGTAGGATTTCCAAAGCTGTAAATCGAACAGTTAGCAGACTGCCTCACGTTTCTCCTGCACAGCAGTAGGTAGGTTCCAACTGCCCACCTTTTGGTTGGTGGCTTGTTTCTCTGAGCATTGCACCACGAGGACTCCAGATGCCATTAATTAAACACGTCCTACATATCAAGCTACGTAGCAAAAGTGAGGAGGACTTTGGGCACTTACTTAAGAAGATCAAAGACTATAGCCTTCAGCGTGTATTACAGCTCAACATCAAGAAGACAGAAATCCTCACCACTGGGCCAAGAGGCAACATTATGATAGAAGGAGAAAAGATTGAAGTTGTCAACAATTTCACTTCACTTAGATCCACAATCAACACGCAGGGAAAGGTGTGTTGCGCTGGGAAAATCTGCTGTCAAAGGCCTTTCTGAAGTGCTAAAGAATAAGTCAAATTAAGAACAGTCAATTTAAAGACTAAGGTGAACTTGATCCGAGTCATGGATCCAAGCCCAGGCCTTCCTAGGCATCTGTAAGTTGGACAATGAATAAGGATGACAGAAGAATTGATTTGGGCTTTGAATTAGGCTGTTGGAGAAGAGTAGTGAATATCCCCTGAACTGCCAAAAAACCCCAAAAAGTCTGTCTTGGAGTAAGTGCAATCAGAATGCTCCTTTAGAAAAGTGCCACAATGAATGACTGGAAACCCTAGGTCTCTGTGAAATTTCTTTAAAATGAATGAAACAAAAAAGAATGCTCCTTCAGAGTCAAAGATGGTGAAACGCTGTGTCATATACTTTGGGTATGTTCTCTGGAGGGTCCAGTCTTTGGAAAATGACATCAAGCTGGAAAGGCGGAGGGTCAGAGAACGAGATACCAGCTTGATCTGCAGGAAGTGTTTAATTAATGGGCTCTGGAGTCCTGGGGGTGCAATGCTCAAAGCAGCAAGCTGCTACCCCATCAGATGGACTGACGCAGCGACTGTAACAATGGGCTCGGGCATCTCAGAGAAGTGAGGATGGGGCAGGGGGGCAAGGTCCTGCTCAGAGGCCAAGAAAACAAACAGATTCATCCTGGAGAGGGTTAAACCAGGCTGTTCCTTGGAGGCAAGGATTCTGAGGCTTCGTCTGACATACTTTGGACATGTTGTAAGGAGGGACCGGTCCTTGGAGAGGGACATCATGCTTGGGAGGGTGGAGGGACAGCGCAGGAGGGGAAGACCCTCTATGAGGTGGATTGATTCCGTGACTGGGGAAATCGGGATGGGTGTGTCAGAGGCAGTGCGATTGGCACAGGACAGAGCAGGGTTTAGGGCTGTTGTACATAGGGTCGCTATGAGTTGCAAGCGACTCGACGGCACATAACAACAACAAACAACAATGAGTCAAAGGCAACTTGATGGCACATACTAACTTAATAAGGATTTTTCATGCATTACGCTGCATACTGAAAAAAATTGGGTCTCATTACTTTTCCTACCGCATGCTGTTAGGAGAGGCTGATCCCTGGAAAAGGACATCATGCTTGGAAAGGGGGCGGGTCATAATAACGTAATAAGGACACCTGACAATAACAATGATGTGCAGTGTGGAGGGTGGGAAGAGTTCTGAGTTACAACTCAAGAGAGAGGGGCCTCTAACTCAGTGACCTGCCTTCCTTCAAAGCTCACCAGCTTCCCATGGTGAGTCACTGGGAGTGAGCGCAGGATTTGGAGAGCAGAGAAATGAAAAAACCTACAACTGCCATTGAATTGGAACTGACTTGACCCGTAGATTGACTTACACTAGATTTCCAGAGACTGTAACTCATATGGGAGAAGACGGCCCAGCTTTCTCCCTCAGAGCCAATGGTGGATTCAAACTGTTAAAGAGGCCCAGTCTTTGGATTAGAAACACACCTCCCTACGGACTACAGCACAGAAGAGCAGAGAGTGCAGGGAGACAGAGGGTGGAACTCTGTCTTCCCCAAACACATGGTGCTGTCCTAACCCACTCCCCTGGGCCTCTGAATTCGGCTGTGTTTGGAAATAAGGTCTCTGAAGGTGTTATCAGTTAACCCTTGGTTGTGCTGACGTTGGGTGGGCCTCAATCCAATATGGCTGATCTAACATGAGAAGAAACAGCTGCAGAGACAGGGTGGGAGGGCCGGCCACCTGAGGACAGAGGCAGAGATGAGTGTTGCAGCCACAAGCCAAGGAAAGCCAAGCTTCTTCACCAGGAACCACCGGGGCTGGGAAACAGCAGGGAAAACAGTTCATCTAGAACATTCACAGGAAACCTAGTCCTGCTGAAACCTTGAGCCTATGCCTTGGCGAAGGACATCTTCTTAAAGGAAGACCCTCAACCAGGTGGGCTGACAGAGTGACGGTAACAATGGGATTAAACAGGTCAGAGACCGTGAGGTTGATGTAGGATGAGTCAGGGTTCAGATCTGTTGTTCATAGAGATGCTATGACTCATCCTCAACTCGACGGCACTTAACAGCAACAACAGCAACAGCAGCCTCTAGAGCTCTGAGACCATACACTTCTACGGCTTAAAGTGCCCTAATTTGTGGCACCTTCTGATGACAGCCAAGGAGACGAAAACAGTGGGGGAGGAAACCAGGCAGATTGGGGGCAAATCCCTGAGGCAAGTCTCTTACCATCCCGAGCCTCGATTTTCCCATCAGTAAAATGGGTGCTTCTCATGTTACCTTACCAGGTAGCTGTGAAGGTTCAGTGAAGTCTTATTCTAGAAAATCCCAGCACAGCATACATTATTGGTAAAAAGTTGAAAATATATGTAGGGGAGAGTGTGCCCCAATCCTCCCCCAGTGAACAGCAAACGCGTTCCTTCTCAGAGCGACAGACTGTACGTGCTATTCTCATTGCATCTTAAAAGTGACCCACTGGGCAGAATCTCAATGCTTAACCCAAGCGGGGACCTGCTAACAGCAGACTGCCAAGCACTGTGATAAGCTGGTGGGAAAGATGGATTTCTGAGTCAGGAGAGGGGATATCACTGTCCAGCAGTCAGGGCTGCCCTCCCTAGCTCAGGCTGCAGCCCAGAGTCTCCATTGCTGCCCAGGGAGCCTGTTCTGGGAGGTGAAAAGGAGGGGTCTCTCTTCCCGCCTGCCCCCCCAGTCCAGCCACCACTTCGTCTCCAGCCACCTTTGTTATCTGCCTTTCAAGCAGTGGAGGAGTGGATTCAAAGGCTCAGAGCAGCAGGCACTGAGGTCTGAGCCAGCTTTGTATTTTCCTTTAAACTGAAGTTGAAAGAGAAGGAGAACTTCAGCCCAGGGACTTCCTCGGCCCAGAATGGACCAGTGGGGCTGAGAAGGTGGGAGGACGCTGGGAAGGTAAGAAGGAAGCTGCGGGCTGGAGGGGCCTGGGGCGAGGTGTGCAGAGGCGAGTTTGAACTTAGCCCGCCTGTGGCTCCGAGAATTCCTGTCGTCACCATTTCTTACCTTGGCTCTGCTGACTCCTGAGGCCTCTCAGGCTGACAGGGTGACAGGGTCGGGGAGCCTGGATACCAGGCGGGTGGAGGCCTGGGTACAGAGGATGCCTGGCAGGGGGAGAAGGGGCTGGATGGCCTGGGCCCCCGCTGCTGCTTCAAGCCTCCACGTGTCCTCAGCAACCTCTCATTAGTCTACAGATCTGTCCTCCCGTGTCTCAGAACCCCTTCTTTCTTTCTTTCTCACATTAGCCCCCAAGTTGCACCAAACTAGTTGTGATACACACACATCACATCGCCAAAATGGGACCCCAAACACATTGGAGTCATTGCTGAGGCGGCTCACCTGCACGCCCGCCCCACAGCAGGTCCTGTGGACCCCTTCTTCAGCCTGCATCCCAACCACGGCTGACTTCCTCCACTACAACCTTCTATCTCCTTGGGGTCCCTGGTCCCCCCTTTTCGTTGCTGAACTGAATCCAATGTGCAAAGGCCTTACAGAACAAAGCAGAAGTGCCCTGTAGGTTTTCCTAGGCCCTCAGCCTTTATGGAAAGAGCTGGCCGGGCCTTTCCCACCATCATGGAGCAGTTGGTGGGTCCAACGTGAGTGCTTAACCTCTGAACCACCAGGTCTCTTCGTCCTTCCTCTCTTGTTGGTGTTAGGTGCTGTGGAGTATGTCTCACAGCGACCCTATAAACCTGAATCCTGTCCTGTGCCGTCCTCACCAGCTCTGATACACCTGAGCCCATTGCTGCAGTCACCGTGTCAATCTATCTCAAGAGGCGTCTGCTCTTTGACAGACCTTCCACTCTTCCAAGTGTAATATCCTGTTCCAAGGAATAGCTTTTCCTAGCAATATGTCCAAGGTGAGAGAGACAAAGCTTGCCTCCAAGAAGCTCCCTGGCTGCACCCTTTCCAAGGCGTCTCTCTTCCCTCTTTGTGACTGTCCATGATATCTTCAGTATTCTTCTCCAACACCACAGCTCAACGGCATCTCCGCCTATTCTCAACTAAACACATCCTAAGTCAGACACGGCCCTCCTCTGCTCACACCCCTCCTCAGTCTCACGGCTGTTGAACCAACTCATAACTGACCCTCCAGTGGGATTTTGCAGGCTATGAATCATATGGGACGAGATTACCCATCATTCTCCCACAGAGCCACTGGTGGGATTTGAACCAGAGGCCCGATCTTTGGGTTAGCAGTACAGCTTCTCCCTCTGACCTACAGGTGGCGCCTCTCTGGCTTCAAGCCACCAGCGGCTTCATGGTAGAGAGACAGGTGATCTCCTCCATCTCCATTTACAGCCTCTGAAAACCTGCTGGAGGCTCAGCGACGGCTTGGTTCTGACTTGATGACAAGGACTTTGAACAACTACTCCAGGATCTTGGCCCAGTTTCTACACCTTGGCCCCACTCCAGCCTGTGCCCCCACCCCACTCCTTGCCCTCGCCCCTTTCCTTTGCCCCCATGCCCGCACAGTTGCCTGGCAGGGTACCAGCTCACCAGCCTCCATGGCCAGCACCGTGATGTTGTGCCAGCCCGCCGTCTCTCGGTCCAGCCCCTTGCCTGTCACGATGGCACCCGTGTCCTCATCGATATCGAAGATCTGGTCCAAATCCGAGTTGCGGTCAATGGCGTACCTAAGGGGGGCAGGGAGGGGCTGACTGAAGGTGCCTCAGGGTCAGCTGGAGCCCGTACCTGTGTCCCCCACCCCATTCCTAAGAGAAGGACCGTCTACTTCAGACACACAAGGAATGGGAAAACTTCCCAACAGAGAAGGGCCGGAAAGGGTGTGCATTTAAGTAGAGCGGGCTCCTGCTGTAACATGGCCAGTTCTTATCTTGCCTGAACCTTAATTTTCGCAGCTGAGAAATGGGCTAATAATTTGCACCCCACAGCTGTGAAGGCTGGGAAGAGGTAAAGTGTCTGACACCGAAGAGACCCAGGCATCAGGCTTGAACACCGAACGCACGTCCAAGAGTCTTTCCCACTCATGCAGCCCTGACTCCCTCACAGAATTCCCGAGGCTCTCATCCTTACAGAAGCAGACAGCCCATCTTTCTCCCGCATAGCAGCCAATGAGCTTGAATCGACAAGGTTTCGGTTAAGATCCAAGTTCTTGAACTACAGCACCACGGAGGCTCCTTAATGCCAGAGGAAGGGGCCGGAAATGGCACTGAGGCGGGGGAAGGTAAGATGCAAAGGCGGCAGGTTAGAACTGTATGGTGAGGAGTCCTGGTGACACAGAAGATTAAGGGCATGGCTGCTAACCAAAAGATGTTGGTGTCGATTATGTGCTATGGAGTCGGAACTGACCCATAGCTTACCCTCCAGCAGGGATTCAGAGGTTATAAAGCTCACAGAAGGGGATTGACTGTCTTTTTCCCTTAGAGGTGCTGAGGGATTAGAACTAGGTATCTTTGGGTTGGCGGCCCTATTTCATACCACTAGGGCAAATCACACAGCAGCTTTGCGGGAGAAGGATCTGGCAATCTACTTCCATAAGGATTGCAACCAAGAAAATCCTGAGACAGCTCTGTCCTGTCTCATGCACGAGGTCCTTATGAGTTGGAATCAACTTGGAGGCACCCCCACGCATTCAGACATTGGTTGACGGCACACGATGGCTAGGCCTGCCAAGTGTGGGCTGTTGGGACCAGAACCCTCATGGTCTGGCATCCACGAATTTGATGTGGACTAACGAGCTGAAGGGAGCAGGAGAGAGGGTGGCTCAGAGCTAGAAGACTCTCATCTGTAGCAGCTTGGCAGCCCCAGAGCAGGGCCATGCCCCATCCCAGACCAAAGGATCCCGGGTGGGGGACGACCCCGGCCCCAACCGGCTGCCAGCACGTTTGAGCTAATCTGTGGCTTTTCAGTTGCCGCGTGAGAAAGCCCTTTGTTCCGCCTTCTTCCCGGGCTTTTGTGCAGCGGCTTCAGGGCTGAAAGGCCGGAGTCCAACACATGTCTCAGGCGGCGGCGGCCCAGAGAGGCCCCGCCAGCACCAGCGCCAGCGCGGGCTGCCGCTTCCCCACACTGATAATGCGGGCGGGGGCGCGACCAGGCAGCAGTGGACAAAGGCCTCAGATGCCAAGCGAGGGTTGATTGTACAGGGAGGACAAAGAGATGCGGTGGGGTGGGGCTGCACCTGAACAGGCCGGATCCCCTCCCACAGACGAGCCACGGGGGTCCTCCCCCATCTCCAGGAGTGGGAAACTGAGGCCCAGGGAGGTGAGAACCCCAGGACCCCAAACCCTGAGAAGTCCCTTTCAGTGAGGTCTTGGCTACATCATCAAACCTCTCAGGGACTCAGTCTTCTCATATGTTGAGTGGGGTTAATACTGCACTACCGAGGCATAGATGATGGGCCTTCTCCTTGCTACTTGTGTTGAAGGGTAGGTGGTGAAAGTCGGCAAACTCCATATACACGGGCGTAGTGAGCTTTATAAGCCAGCACTGAGCCCCCAGTTTAATGCTCCTTCCTCAGCTTAAGTGGTGAAGGCCATGTTTTCCTTGCCACTGACCAGCATGGATCTGGGTGAGAGAGTGATGGTTCTTCCCTAGCCTCACCCTTCAGTTTCTAGACTCTGTCCCTCTGCTCATCCCTGCACATCTTCTACCCTCCCTGGGCGGGCATGTCTGCTGGGGATAAAGTGGTGACGAGACAGAAAAGTCTCTATCCTCCTGTGAAGCTGGTGTGATCGCTCCCATTTTCCAGACAAAGACACCGAGGCCCCTGATAGGGCTGCCAAGTATTGTTGTATTGCTTGTGCCTTGCCCAAGGGGCCCAGGTTGAGGAAAGAAGTGGAGGTGAACTGCAGCTAGAGTTTTGCTCACCCAGTGGTATCTCTGAAACACAACCCCCCAAAACACTGTCTTCGTGTCGATTTAACCACAGGGACCCAACAGGATGGAGCAGAACTTTCTCAGAGGGATGCAGATCATTAAAGCAGAACACCACATCTTCCTCCTGTGCAACTAGTGGGTTTGAACAGCTGACCTTTTGGTTAGCAGGCAAGTGCTTTAACTAAGACACCATCTGTGCTCCTTCCATCTCCCTAAAGGGAAACCCTTTTTCTTATTCACACAAAGGCTCCACCTGGTTTACTGATGACCCCACTCAAGGTTGAATTGGGACTCTGGCCAGAGCGCTATTCTAGCTTGCTGAACCTTTCCACGCCTCCATGCATGGCACTGTTAGGATGCAGTAGAGAACAGAGGACTGCCTCCCTTTTCAGAGGTGGAGGACAGAGCCCAGGAAAGGGCGAGAGCATTGTAAGCGAGCACAGGTTCCTGCTCCCGGTCTTGTGGCTGGATGCTGCCTGCCTTCTCCTGCCTCCCCTCCCCTCTCTAGTCAGGCCTCACTTCCCTCTCCTCCTCCTCCTAGTTTTTCTCTTTTGTTCCCTTCTGGAGGGGAAGGGGGGGCTGGAATCTAAGCAGAGGCAGCTGTTCCCAAGGCCGCAGGGCGGGGGGCCGAGAGGACCCACCATTAACCAGCTAAAGACTTGAGGCCGAGGGTCAGCTCTGCTGGCTGCGCCCAGGTGTTTTGTTCCAGCTCAAGGAACAGCCCGGCAGCGGGAGGGAGTGTCTGGCGGCAGTGGGGCCTGCGTATGTATTCAGGGACTGCCTGGCTGTGTACCTCACATGTGGGTGCATGAGCTGTGCGTCTGGTCTGCAAGGGGAGTGAGTGGAAGAGTGTGCGTGTGTGTCTGTGTCTGCGTGTGCATGCATGCCGCTGCGGGCTCTGCAGTTGGAAGAGCAGAGGCTCAAGAGGCAGCTGCTTGACTCCAGGGTCTGGATCCAGGCCCATGTTGACCCCGGGCAAGTCGCTTCCATCTTTGAGCTTTGAGTTTCAGCAAAATGGAGATGATAATCGGACCTGGCAAGGCTGTCAGGGGATTAAATGTATATATAAAACGCCTAGCTGAGTTCCAAGAAAACACTCCACGCATGGGAGCTGGTGGCGTTCTGATTATTATTCAGAAGTGTCTGGCGTTCTCTCTGCCCAGTGTGTGGCCCGTGTGCCCGGCGGGGTGGATGCCACCTTGTGTGGAGGTGCAGGCACTGTCAGCAGAGGAAGAGGACAAGAGGAAGCTGCAGGTCTAGAAGGTTCTGGTGAAATCTTGACAACCTGCCCCCACCTGGATCAGCCAGGACCTGGAGGGCGGGAAGGAACCTCAGTACCTGTAGGGGGCAGCAGAGTGCACGTGGGCACTTGCCAGCCAGCGCGTGTGTGTGTGTGTGTGTCTGTGTGTGTGTGTGGTCAGAGTGGGGATCTGGTTTGTAATCTGGCTGTGTGGCCTTGGGTAAGTTACTTAGCCTCTCTGTGCTTCAGTTTCTTCCTCTTGAAAATGGAGAGACTAACACGTAACTCACGTGGTGATTTCGAGGATGGCAAATGCCCACCAGTGACATCCCGGCCACATGCTAGATGTGCTGGCTCTTTACGTCTGAGCAGTTCTGCCTTTATACCTGCACCAGCTCCTCGAATGCTCTTCGTGATTCCCATTTTATGGGCGGGAAACTAAAGCTACAAGAAGCCAGATGTCTTGTCCTGGGTTACAAAGCTTTCAAAGTCAAATTCCTAGCCAGTCAGTCTGAAGTTCAAAGTCAAAGATCACCCACCTTAGCAGCCCAGCCAGGCGCAGCTGCCTGAGTTCCCTCCCATGTGCCACAAGGGCATGGACAGCCGTGCTTGGGGGGGGTTTCCTGTTTGTAGGATGAGGGTTGGGGAATGTGGTGACCACTTGCTCTTGCACCTGTATTTTCCCCTACATAAGCAAGTCCATATACAATGCCCACACCTACAGTCAAACCCCCTGCAGGCACAAGGATGTGAGGTCATAAACATACCTTGGCTAGGAGACAAAACTCCCCTCCACAAGCCTGTCCATTGGGGGACATCTTCTCCCCTCCCCCAGGGAAGGGGATGAAGCCCTTCCTCCACTCCACCTTGTCTGCGCCCCTCCCCCTTTCAGGCATGTGTGAGCTCTTTCAAACGCCTACACACAATGCCTGGAACGCTGTATGTGGCCAGTACCGGCTGCTGAAGGAAGGAGCGAATCAGACCTGTAGAGCTCTGAGGAAAATGCGGATACCTATTTCCTGAGCAGCTGGGGTGGTGTGGTGGGTTACACATCAGGTGCTAACGGACAGGCTGCCAGTTCAAATCCACTAGCCGCTTCTCAGGAGAACTGAGGTAGTCTGCTCCCATTAGGGCTGGTAGCCTTGGAAACCGAGGGAGGGTCACTATGAACAGGAAATGAACCAACAGCAGGGGCTTTGGCTGGTTTCCTAAGGGGCCACCAGCCAAGTGTTAATTACCTGCCCCTTTAGTCCGGGGAGCACCCAGCACAGAACTTGGGACACTCTGTATATTATAAGCATTTAAAGTCTGTCTTAAGTAAGTGAATGAGAGACAGGTACTATCATGATGCCCACTTTAGAGAAGGGAAATTCAAGGTTTGCAGAGGCTGCACGGACCTCCCCAGTGGTTTACAGCTGAGCTGGGATTTGAACCCAGGTTTGATTGCAAAGCCCATGGACTTTTGGCTGCAGCCTGTTGAGAAATGCTGGGGTAAGGGATGGCCCTGGTCCAGCACAAACTTTGCTGGAAGGAGCAAAGGTCTGACGTTCACAAGAGACTCACAAAGTGGTTCAGGTTGGGACTCGGACCAACAGGTGGCCAGTTTAAATGCAAGCCTGACTGACCTGGAGACAGGCCCACCCTGGGCACTGTCCTCTTTCTAGCATCTTCCAAGGCTTCCTATCACAGGCAAGAAAAGACCTGACGAGGTCCATCACAGCCTCTCCTCCTCTCCCACCACTCTGTGCGCTCCTCCAGTTGGCCTCCCCCTCGCTGACTCCATGATTCTGTTCCTGTCCTCTGCCCCCCAGTAAACACTCCAGCTTGGGATGGCCTCTCTCCATTATTGGCTGCGCCTCCCTCAGGGGCCACCTGGTGGAATCCTCAGCCTTGGCTCTGTCCTGGACAGCCCAGCCTTGCTGCCCTGGGTCTGTGTCTGACTCATGTCTGGGCACCACGCCTGGCAAAGGCTTGTGATCCATGCTGAACACAAGTGGGTAGGAAGCTGGGGTGAGATGGCATTGGGCAGACACGCACCCACCACCCTCTAGCGGGTTCTGATTCTCTGCGACCCCGTGTCAAGCTTCACGGAGGCAGCCTGCTTCCTCTTTCTCCTCAGAGTGGCTGGAGGGTCCAAGCTTCTAATCAGTCTAAGCAGCTAAATGCACTGACTGCTGCACCACCAGGGTCCCTGGGCAACAGGCAGCCATGGGTTAAGTCCTTTCTCTCAAGCTGAGTGACCATGGACAAGTTGCTTCCTCTCTCTGAACCTTAGTTTTTCAATCTGTAAATTTAATACAATTTTTTTTTAAATCCAACCCAAAGCCGAACCCATTGCTGTTGGGTCAATTCTGACTCAAGTTGAACCTCCAATGGGTTTTTGAGGCTTTAAGAGAGGAAATGACCTCATCGTTCTCCTACAGAGTGGCCAGAAGATTCAAACCACCAACCTTCTGGTTATCAGTGCAGGCTGCAACACTCTATCCACTGAGGCTCCTCCGGAGGGGTTAATGTCAAAATCTGAAGCCCCTTCTACCCTCCCCAGTGCAGGGCTTAGGAAAGCCACTCTGGGCAGCCAGCATTCCTGCATTTCCCAAGCGCTCACCTTGTAGACAACACGATGGCACTCAACAACACCACTACCACAACAACAACAACATTGTGCCCCACAAGCAAAGTCTCATGGGAAACACCTCAGCTCTGCAGGAACACACTGAGCTTGTTCCTGTCTCAGGACCTTTGCACATGCTGGTCCTTCTCCTGGAACGCTCTTCCCTGTTTATTTTTCCCACAGTTGCCTTTCTTTATCATCCTGATCTTAGCTCAGTTATTGCCTCTTAGACCACGTGATTGGAAGTAGCCCACCCTGGTCCTGATCCCTCCTTGTTCTGGCCCCTCTCTTTTACTCACTTCATAGCCTGTCTCAGAAATTATCCAGTTGAATCATTTGTTGATGTGCTAATGGTCTGTGTCCTCACAGGGAAGGTAAATTCCATGTGGGCAGGGGCCTGTCTTGTTGCAGCTGTTTCCTGGTTGCAGGAACTGGTGGACATGACTCAACACAGAGTTGCTGACCAAGCCAATGACCATTAAAAACCCTTATATCCAAGATGGGCTCTGGGCAGAGCATCTGGGCAGCGCATGTGGCCAGCGAGGATGCCTTCTGTCTCCCACTGTTCCTGACTGTCCTCCCAGTGTGGACCCCCTCTGTTTCCCACTGCCCTGACTACCCTCCTGGTGAGGAACCCTCTGTCTCTCACTGCCCCTGACTGCCCTCCCAGTGTGGACCCCTCTGTCTCCTGCCCCTGACTACCCTCCCAGTGAGGACTCTCTCTGTCCCCAATTTCACCCTGACTGCCCTTTCCAGTGAGGACCCCCCCTATGGTCTTCCACTGCACTTACTGCCCTCCCAGTTTGTCACCTGGAAGCTCTCCCAAGCCTGGACTCCGTCCTTGGCTGAGTCATCTCCTCTCGTCTGTCCCCAGGCCTGGCTGCTGGCGGGGCACGCAGGAGGACTTGGGTAAATGTTTGTGGTGTTAAATTAGACCTGTCTCAGAGACTCATCGCCCCCACATCTAAGGAGCCACAGGGAAGGGGCAGCACAGAGAGATGAAAGAAGGTGAGAAGAGGTTTCAAAGTTGGCCCTTTCAGTGCAGATAAAAGCAGAGGGAAGGGAAGTCAGAGGAGAGAGAGGCTTGAGGAGGGGTGGAAGCAGTGATAGTGGAGAGGAGGGGGTGGGCAGCCCCTTCACATCCTCCACTCTGGGCCTCCCAAGAGAGGTCTGGGGTCAGGCTGGAGGCCAGGGGGTCTTTAAAGACTGGAAGGCAGTTGGGGCGGACAGGAGATGGATGGAGCGTTCAGAGGCAGTGCAGGGCTGTTGGGCAACGAGGTGGGAGGAGGCATCCCAAGTGTCCTAGGCAGCGGGCTAGAGCCTGAGCCCCCTCCTCTGTCCTTGCGGTCCTGCTCCATTTCCTCGCCCTGCTCTGCCCGTCACTGTCCGCTCTGCTCTCAGCATCTCACAACCTCTCTGCCTCCATATAGCTGTCCAGGCTGGATTACCCTTCCCCTGTCACTTCTCCATTCCTCCCTCCTCCAGGAAGTCTTCCAGACACCCAACCTGAGAACCCACAGACACTTGAGCAGGAGAGTATCTCTGTGTCTCCTCCCACAGGACTGCCATCTAAGGTTTCACAGGCCGAGCACCGCACAACTCTAACATCCATTCCCACCGGTGACAGCAGCAGGGACTCCTGGAAGAGTGCAGCACCGACGGCCAGCACAGAGCTGGGCACATAGCTGTCTAACTCTGTGCAGAGGGAGGAAGCCGGGTGCCCAGAGCCTCTTCCTCGTCCCTCCAGCACTGCGGACTGCCTGACCTCGCCCTCCTCCTCTGGGTCTGTTTCTGCTGTCACTCCCTTCCCTCATCTGTGCCCTCTTTTTTCCTTTCCTCGTGGGTCATAGTCAGGGATTTGCTCCTCTCCAATCCCTGCAGCCCCCAAATCCTTCCAGGAACACAAACAGGGTGGGCAGCACCCTACCCCCATTGCCCTGTCTCCACCCCTGCTCTTACTCTGTCTCTCCATCTCTCTGTCCATGTCTTTCTGTCCCTTTTGGGTCTCCTCTCATTTCTCTACAGCTCTCTGAATCCCTGCTGGTTTCTCTGGCCCCTCTCCTCCAGCCCTCTCCTCTCCCTCCACTCTGGGCCTCTCTACATCTCCGTAAGTCTGTGTCTCTGTCATCTCTTTTCTCACAGTTCCTCTCTTTTGACATCTCATACCCTCACCACATATGGAGTGTGTGTCCATGGACAGCTGGGCGCTGAGAATACAGCTGCGGACAGACAGACACAAATCCCTCCCCTTCCAGAGCTTGTGTTGGTGGCAGCGAGAGACAGTGTCATCAGAAATAAACAGCCTGTTAGTGACGAGGCCAGTGGGCCAAAGGAATTATGGATGGGGGACAGGAGGAGTGGGGTGGGGTTGATATTTGAGAGTGCCCAGGGAAGGCGTGCTGAGAAGGTGAGGGAGGAAGGAAGTTAGAGGGGAATGTGGAGGCGCTGGGGAGAACATTGGAGGGGAGAGAGCTTAAGCAGTGAGCATGATGTGTCCACGGAGCAGGGAAGAGGCTGTCTGTGTGATCAGAGCAGGATGAGGATGCAGGAGGCCTGGCCAATCCGGCCCGAGGACCACTGCGAGGGCTTGGTCTTTTATTCGGAGCAAACCAGATGCCTTTGGAGTGTTCTGTCCCAAGGAGGATCACTCCCTGCTGACAATGGGAAGCCTTCGGGTGACTCCCAAGCTGATCCTATATTAAAGGGGGCGAGGACAGGAGCAGAGGGAATCAGGAAGGGGTTGTCACATTCTGGGTGAGATAAACTGGCACTTTGGACCTGGGAGGCCACTCTGTGTGCAGAGAGAAGTGGGCAGACACGAGGCATAGTCTTAAGGTAGAGATGGCAGGATGTGTTGGAGGGGGAAGCTGTGAGAGAGGAAGGTCCCTGGGTTGTGCAGTTAATGTGCTCGACAGCTAACTGGCTGTCAGCATCTACAAAAGTGTTTGCTGAAAACCCGGTGGTGTGCAGTTCCACCTGGACACACAGGGGGTCATCAGGTATTGGGGTGGCCAGGAGTCAGAGGAAGCTGTGTCTGGGTTGTCGGTGGTTCTAGTGGGAAGTTCTGAACATGTCACAGCCGGAGGCGTCTGTCTGGTGGATTCCACACAGGGGTGTGGAGGGAGAGGCAGGGCTGGACACATGGCTTTGGGAGCCTGGGCAGAGGGGGACCCCGCAGAGGGGCACGGGGCTGAGTGCTTCACTGTCCTTCGCTGTCAGCTGTCAAGTCACCTGCTTGTCCCCTCTCCTCCTGGGTCCCTGGTCTCTCTAGAACTGTTCTCGCCACCTGTTCCCTTGGTCTTCCTGCCAGGTCTCACCATCTCTGGCCCTCCCCACCCCACACCCCCTCCCCTCCGCCCTGCAGTCTGTGCAGGACCACCGCGGGGTAGCAGGCAGCAGGCGTCGGCCCCGGGCGGGGGTCTCACCGGACGGGCCGGTTGGCGGCGTCGGGGTCCCGCGCCGTCACCACGCCGACCAGGGAGCCCACCTGCGCGTCCTCCTGCACCTCCAGGAGGCCGGAGGGCGGCCGGAACTCGGGGGGCTCGTCCACGTCGGTCACGGCCACGCGCACGATCGCCTGGTCGCGGAACGTGCCCAGGTCGGCGAAGCGAGGGTCCACGAACTTGTTGAGAGCCTCCAGGACCACGGTGTGCACCGGCTGGGACTCGAAGTCCAGGCGCTGGGGGGGGACAGAACAGAGGGCTGCTCAGCAGGCTGGGGTGACATCTGTCCACAGACCACGCCCCTGGTGGTCTCTGAATCTGGAGGGGACCCTAGAGGGGGAAAGACTAACACAATGGCACGATGACCCCCAGTAGGGTTGCCTGGACTGTCCCAGCAGCGCCAGGAAGCAGGCTGTCAGAGACTTAAACCAACCCTTGGGTGACAGGTGGGGACACCAAGTTCCTGAGCGGACAGGACCTTGAGGAGCCAGGCTAGAAGGGTGAAGGGTGCTGGGCTGGGCACCCAGACCCACTACCCAGCCTCACGTTCCACCCATGCATTTATTTACACTTACAAAGTACCTCATTTTGTGCCTGAATTTTTACTATATTCACTCACATAATCTTACAGCCTAAGAGGTTTATACAGTGATCATTCCCATTTTACAGGGGAGAAAAGCAGGCCCAGAGAGGCTCAGCAACTTGCCCAATGCCACACAGCAGTTAGTCACTAGCAGAGGCTAGATTTGAACCCAGACAGTGTGGCCCCAGGGTCCCAGTTCTTAACCCAAGGAAGGTGACATTCATGGGTTGGATGTCACAGGGACTGGGGTCCAAGTCCTGGCTTTGTCTCCAAGCAGCTGTGTGATTATGATTCTGGTTGAGGGTCATCCATTCTGAACCGGCTCATGGCTCACCCTCCAGCAGGCTTTCAGAGGCAGTAAATCACCCGGAGTTAACGGCCCATACTTCTGTGGAGCAACTGGTGGATTCAAACTGTGTGCCTTTCCGTTGGCACTGCAACTCCTTCCCACTAGGCCACCAGAGCTCTGTGCGGTTACAGACAACCTATTTTAGTCTCTCTGAGCCCCGAGTAGGGCAATTAACCAAGAGACATGCCCTAGTACATGGTGGTGTTAGGCGCGGCTGTGGACCCACAGGGATTCCGAGGTGCCCTAACTTTTATGAGAAAGCATGGCCAGATCTTGTCTCCCGTGGTGCTACTTTGTGGTTTCAAACTATCGACCTCTGGGTTAGCTGCAGAGCCCTGGACCACTATGCCATGCTGGTGCCTAGGAGGAAGTGGTTAACGCGAACTGAGCCTGAATTAGCACAGAGTTCGGAGCTCTCCTCTGTGACCTGGCCACATCCAGGCAGGAGCGGGCTCTTCACCCAGCCTTGCTGATGGGCGGCCCTCTGATGAATTAGCTCATGTCACGTCTGTGTTCGCTCTGCCTTTCAAAAGGCAATGTCTCAGAGTCAAGAGAAACACTGATGGGTGGAACTGTCAGGTCCATCCACTGCATGCCGAGTGGGTAATCTGAGTGGCAAGAGTGACCTTCCTAGATGCCCAGGGGAGGGTGCTTGCCCTGTGCATAGGGACCTCACCTTCCTCCCAGACATCCCTCCATCCCATCAGCGTGTCTCCGCCAGCCCCAGGCAGAAGCTGCCTCCAACCTCCATCCCATTGCCGGGGTGATCAGCATGCAGGCAGGCAGGCAGTGGCCTGGCCTGGGAGTGAGCGATGGGCGGTAAAGCCAGGTCATCAATCAGGCGGGGGCTCTGCTCCCACAGCCGACGCTGCCTCCACAGAGACACCTCAGGCGCCACTGCTGGAGCCGGGGAGGGGACGAGGCGGTGCAGGGGATGAGAAGAAACAGCAATAGCATCTCCAAGCTGGGCTTGGGGCCTGATTTCCTGCTTTGTGACTCTGGATCTTTCTGAGCCTCCAAATCCCCATCTGTAAAATGGGCTCATCTCATTATGAGGACAAATGGAGGTTCAGAGACATGTTGAAAAGAGCATAGTGTTTGAGAGAGTGGATTCTGGAATCAGAATGCCGGCCTTCAAATCCCTTCTTTGCTTTGTTAGATGCGTGATTGTGGGCAAGTTCCTTAACTTCCCAGAGCCTCACATGAAAAATGGACAAGAAAAGCGCCTCAGAGACTTGTCATAGGGACAGATGAGTTACTACACAGGCACGGGTGATGGGTGCCTGGGAGAAGCATTTTAAAGGTATTAATTATTACTCTAAAATGTGCAAAAATGGAGCCTGTGTCAGAGGAAACCTGCCAGAAAACCCAGATTTTCCATGAAAGATGAACTAAAGACAAGTGGCTAGACAGCAACCTGTCAAAATATTCCAGCTGCAACAAACGGGTCGTGTGGAGGCGGGCTCGCACAGGTATTAGCCTCTGTGAAGTATCTGAAGTATCTATTCTCAAAGCCTCAGTGCCAGGGAGAGGTGAGCCACTGAGGGCTTGATGAGTGAAGGAGCCATCCCCAAGCCCAGGAGTAGATGGTTCTGTGGGTCCCTGCAGGCAGAGCCCAGACCAAGAGGACTGAGTTTAGGGAGATCAGCTTTGGCTGAATGAGAAGAGTTGGGCAATGTGAAGAATCCTGGAAAGTATGAAAACACTTTATGGGCCAAAGACAGGGAACTGGGGACTCCAATGGCACATGGTTTAAATCCACCAGTAGCTCCAAGGGAGAGGACTGGGTGGTCTCCTCCTGTGTGATGAACTGTCTATGACAACACACTGCAGGGTCAGCTACGAGTTGCTTCTGACTCGATGGCACATAACAACAATACAACAACATGGTGAGTGGTGTTGGAGTGGACAGTCTTAAACACTTATGCAGCTCTGAGTTGCAAAAGCCCATGACCACGTTCTGGAAGATAAGACACTTTCTTCTTTGTCTGTTCTCTATCCCCTCTGCCTGGGGATGCTTGAGTTTGGAGCATCTGATTCCTAAGCCAGTCGGTGGAAAGAAGACTGTTAGACTCAGAAAGGAAAGAATTTTGGAGTGACCAGATCTGGATTCAAAGTCCTACTCTCTATTTTCTTACAAGTGTAGTTGTTCCTCTCAGAGCTTCTGTTTGCTCATCTGTAAAGATTGGGGGTAAGGACATTTTCTCAAGTGGGAGGGATAAGGAATAATGAGAGTAAAAAGTGTGAAGGGCTTGGCTCAGAGATGAACAAGCACAAACACAGAATCCAGACTTTCTGGAGCCAAGCAGGCTGGAAAAAGCCCTGGAAACAATGCTCTGATGTTACCTTTAACCATGCCATCATAAACTGCCTGAATCCTTCTTTAATCCAAACGCCCGTCTAGCTTAAGTAGTAAAGAGTGTCTTTGGTAAACATTGCCTCTTCTAAGAGCTTGCTACATAAGATCATATTGTTAACACGTTGCCGCACACTTTTAAATTGAGACCATGCTTAGAAACACACTTTTTTTTTTGCTGTCATTTGCAGCAACGTGCTAATAGTAACTTGAAGATTAGATAGGAAACTTAGGGGAAGTGATTTTATGTTAACAGGATAGGAATAAACTGGAAAAGGAGAGTGGGAATGATTTCACCATTTCAAGAATACAGTGTCCCTGAATTGTACACGCAGAAAATGTTGTGTTGGTATCTGTTTTGCTAAGTGTATTCTCAACATCAATCTATATAAAGGGGCAAAATACAAACCTGAATTGATTCTCAGCTCTGCCAACTAGCTGTGTAACCCTGAAGCAGTCACTTAACCTCTCTGTGCATCAATCTCTCAAGTGTAAGTGGGAAGGACCCCACCAGTGTTTTTCTTGGTTGGTCCTGGGTGTGGGAAGATGGAACACTGGAGTTGGACTGGGGTGAGGACACGTGAGTGGTCAGGGGGCTGCCCCGGCCCCTCTGGCCCCAGAAGTGCCTCCCCATCCCACTTGGGGCAGCGCACCTTCTGCACTACGATGATGGCCTCCTGCGTGTCGCTGTCCGTGGTGACCTTGAACACGTCGCCGCCGCTGCCACTCTCTTCCTTCAGGTGGTAAGTCATGTCTGTGTTCTCGCCCACGTCCGAATCCTCGGCCTTCACTCGCCCCACAGCGGTGCCGATGGGAGCCGACTCTTGGATGCTGAACTGGTACATCTCTACAGGGGACACAGCCGTGGGCAGTGAGAGGTGGTCCTATCCTGGCCTCTGCTGGCTCTGGGGCAGGGAGCAGGGAGACCAAATGGCCCACCAGGGAGAGGCAGTGTTTGCGAGGGGCTTGAAGCTAGAGGAGAAGGAGGGGTCCCCCGGAAACTGTAGGAGGCAGTGCAAAGAGGGGAGGCCTGTCATTGTTGTTCGATCAGTTTTGATTCATGGAAACTGCACATGACAGAATAACAAAGGGCTTTCTAGGCTGTAATCATTAAAGAAACCAGATCACCAAGGCTTTTGTCCAGTGAAGCTACCAGACAGGCTTGAACTGCTAACCTCTCAGCAGCCAAGTGTTTAACCTCTCAGCCACCAGAGCTCCCAAGAAGACCAGTTCTGCCCCTGTGTTTATTTGCTGATTAATTTGGGAAAATCTCTAGAATCCTTTGAGCCTCAGTTTCCCCATCTGCCCAATGGCAGGGTTACAACAGCACTGGGATAAAGAAGTCAAGGCTCTGGCATCCACGCTAGCTGTGTAATCTCGAGTCTCAGTTTCCTCATCTGTAGAGTGGGAATAATAACCATAGTCTTTCCTAAAAGAAAACAGATATAATCTATAAACAACTGGTTTATAGTATTTTCACGATTTGACTCTATTATGTTTCATCTTCAATAGGCAGAATCCTATTTAATAAGAACCGGTGAAAAAGAATAGTACCTTTCTAGCAGCATGGCTGTTATGACAATGAACTTGGTTGATGACGCATGTGAAAATGTTTAGTGCCGTGCCGAGCACAGGCTCGAAAAGTGGAACCAACTGTATTAAAATAGTGGTGCTTCATACTGATTCTGCGGCTCATTTTTCTAAACAAGCTATTGATATTAATGGAATTTACTCCCCCTCTGCAACATATTTATGGAGCACCTCTGATGTCCCACCAGCTGCTCCATGGCAGAAAGATGAAGCAGTCTGCTTCCTTAAAGATTTAGAGCCTTGGAAACTCCCTGGGGAAAGTTCTAGTCTGTCCTACTGGGTCTCCATAAGTCAGAATCATCTCAGTGATAGTGTGGGTTTTAAAATTGATGTTCCCCCTGAAACCCACAGCATCCCTTTTCAGCAGGAAGTAGCTAAGAGAACACGCCATCCCCTTTTCCTTATGAATCAGGGTGAAGTCTCTCTCAGGGAGGAGTGATAGGGAATGGCAAGGGACACACTGACAAAGGAGATTAATCAGAACTGGCTTTGACAAGCACTGTGGCAATTGGACAATTAAAACAGACATGGGTGGGGGGGAAGAAGAACGAACAGGGGAGGAGGGTGGAGAAAACAGTGCAACAATGAATGAATGAATGAAAACCCAAAATCTCTGTAAATGTTCATTAAAACTAATAAAATGTAATAATAAAAAAAAGAAAATAAAAAAAATTGATGTTCCAGACTCAGTTGCAGACATCGGGATTACAGCTACAAAAGACAGAACTCCCATCATTCACTGTGCTTTCTTCTCAATGCCAGGAAAAAGATGCTAAGCAGTCACCTTCCTGAACCACACCACGTGCCACATGGTGATGCGGCTTGAGCAGAAAAAGAAAGCAGGAGAGGGGCGTGGGGGTGCTGATGGGGGCTTGCAGGGTGAGAGGATGGCATTTCTGCAAAGGGAAGTGAGAGGATGAGTCACTCCAGACAGGGGGGCAGCAGGTGCAAAGGCCCTGAGGTGGGTGCCATGCCTGGCCTGTTTGAAGCATGACAAGATGGCCATTGTGGCTGGAGGGAAGAAGCATGGGGGAACCAAAAGGAATGAGGCCCCCACTCTCATCCCAGAGGTCATGGAGAGGATGACTGCTCTGAACATGTTTGTGTAACTCGAGTGCCTATTTGCATGGGTGAATCAGCACAGGGGAAGCCGGGGCTGGGGGGAATGGGGGGAGATGTGGCTCTTGGAGGGGTGCCCCTTATGTGGCGTGACCGGCTCTATTCTGTGAGCTCACAGCAACAAGAGACTCTGTCTAAGTACAAGCTCATCTCATCACTCCTTTGCTGAAGTTCCTCCTGTAGCTCCCCACTGCCTTGGGAATGAAATTGGACAGCTTGTCTTGCCCTGCAAGCTACCTGCTGCCTGCCACTGCCACCTCCTCCAGGCTCATCCTCCTCCACCTCTAACTCTAGCTTCAACTTGGCTGAAGTTCCTGTAATTCCTCAGATAAGACTTGCTCTCTCTTCATCAGGCACCTGACTTTTCCATTCTCCTCTGCCTTTCCCTCTTCCATTTCCACTTTGCCTTCTAGTCTCACTGAACTATACTTCCTGTCAGAGACCCTCCCAGACCTGTAGGCGCAGCTGCCATAACCCCCCAAGCCTTCCCTGCTGCAGGGATTACTGGATTCTCCTATTATTTTCCGTTTATTCTCTCTCCCCCTCTTGGGTATGAGCGACTGGAAGGCAGGGACCACATCTCTTATTCATCAGGCATTCTCAGCGCCTGGCAGAAGACCAGACTGTCGCATAAATGAAATGTGTGAGTGACTTGTAAGTGAATGAATGAAAACCAACGTGAGCTACCTCTATGCACTCATCAGATTAACACAATTTAAAGAGTCGTACAATACCAAGTCTTGGTGAAGATGCAGTGCAAAGGACACTCACATTTCTACTGGGTGGGAAAAGAGTTTGGTCTTCTTGAGTAAAACAGAAGATAAATAGATCCCAGGGCCCCGTAATCCTACTCTCTCCTAGAGAAATGATGCAAACAGACACTAGAGACACATACAAGTATGTTCCAAGCCGTTTCCTTCAAAATAACCCCAAACTAGAAGGAACCTGCTCACCTACTTCCAAAATATCAGCCCTTGGAACTCCCTATGTCTTATCAATAGTTGTTTGTACTTGTTGACATTTGTGTGTGTCAGAGTAGCACTATTCCATGGGAGTTTCAGTGGCTGATATCTTGGAAGTAGGAGAGCAGGTCTTTCTTCCGAAGTCGCTGAGTGAGCACTAACTATCAGCATTTAGCTAGTCAGCACTATCCGGTAACTCCTCCCATCAAGAGCTGTTAGGTATTGTTGAGTCAATCATGCTTCATAGTAACCCTATGAACAACATAGTGACCCCTTGCCATACCCTGGGCCATCCTCACAAGTTCCACCATACGAAAGCCCATTGTTGCAGCCTCTTGTTGCTACATCAAGGTACTCTTCAAGAATATTCGTAAGTACTGTCAAGAGTACACAGGTACACAGGGTTTTCAGAGACCTGCTATTTCAGAAGTGGAGGGCTAATCCTTCTTCCTAGTCTGTCTTAATCGGAATGTTCAACGCTCTTGGCACCAGCAGCCAGGAAATCAAAAAACGTATTTCGATGGGAAAGTCTGCTGTTAGGGACCTCTCCAAAGTACTCAAGAGCAACGGTGTCACTCTGGAGACTAAAGTGCGTCTGATACAGGCTATGGTCTTTGCAATCCCTTGTTATGCATCAGAGAGTTGGACAATGATTAGGGAGGATAGAAGGAGAATTGATGCCTTTGAGCTGTGGTGCTGGAGAAGAGTATTGAGTGTACCATGGACTGCTAAGAAAACAAATAGATTCATCCTGGAGAGGGTTAAATAGGGCGGCTCCTTGGAGGCAAGGATTCTGAGGCTCTGTATGACATACTTTGGACATGTTGTAAGGAGGGACTGGTCCTTGGAGAAGGACATCATGCTTGGGAGGGTGGAGGGACAGCACAGGAGGGGAAGGCCCTCTATGAGGTGGATTGATTCAGTGACTAGGGTAATCAGGATGGGTGTGTCAGAGGCAGTGCAATTGACACAGGATAGAGCAGAGTTTAGGGCTATTGTACACAGGGTCACTATGAGTCGCAAGTGACTCAACGACACATAACAACAACAACTGTCAAGAGTATCATATCCTGACAAGCACTGTGGCAACTGGACAATTAAAACAGACATTCGGGGGGTGGGGTGGGGAGAAGAACAAACTGGGGAGGAGGGTAGAGAAAACAATGCAACAATGAATGAATGAAAACCCAAAATCTCTGTAAATGTTCACTAAAACTATAAAATTTAATAATAATTTTAAAAAAAGAGAGAAAAAAAAACAAACAAAAAACCTGTGATACGCCAATGATGCAACCTTACTTGCTGAAAGTTAAGAAAACTTGAAGCATTTAAGTAAAATGATCAAAGATTACAACCTTCATTACTGATTCTGGACCAATAAGAAATATTGTGATAAATAGACTATGAACAAAGATAAATGTATTGTTCAAACAATCTGATCAAATTATCATGTAGGAACTGAAAAAAAATATTGTGTTAAATGGAGATAAGATTATCTTTATCAAGGATTTTGTGTAACATGGATGCACAATCAGTGCCCTGAAAAACAGCAATCAAGAAATCAAATTATATATTGGATTGCAAAAGTCTTATGTAATAGGCTTCTTTAAAGTTTTCAACAATAAATTTGCCATTTTGAAGACTAGAAAAAAAAGAGTATCATATCCTTACAATGGAATACTACGCAGCAAGGAAAAATGAACAAAGCACAACGATAAACAACAGCACAGATGGACTTAGAATCATAACTTGAGGGACAACAAAACAAAAGCATGAGATAAAATAATTTCTCTTGTGTGATCCCACTTATAAAAGCTCCACAAGCAGGTGAGATGAAGCCATAATATTCGGTGATACACTCCTTAGATGAGCAGACCCTGAAGAAAAGCAGAGGAATAATTATAATAATCCCCAAATCTGACGGTGGTAGAGGAAGAAGAGGAGAGGGAAGTAGAAGTTAGGGTCGGAAAAAGGCATGTGGGGGCGTTGTGGCTGGTGCTTTCTGGGGCAGATGGGGAATGATTTGTTCAAATGAACATTGAACTCATGCGTCCTTGTACCTGTTGGCTTGAGTGCAGCAATGACTGTGAGGCTGGGACAGGCCCAGGTGGTGCCTTATTCTGCTGTACACGGGTCTCTATGAGTCAGGGCTGAGCCGATGGCATCTAACAGCACCAATATGTGCGTGCTGGGTTGCACAGACAGGTAAGCACTGGTCTGCTAACTGAAAGGTTGGCAGTGTGAACCCCCACAGCAAGGGTCCCTCAGAAGAAAAGCCTGGTGATCAGCTTCTGAAAGATCAGCCCCTAAAGCCCTATGGGGTGTTCATGTGACACAGAGGGAGTCTCGGTGGGCTGGAATCAACCCGAGGGCACCCGGGTTTATTAGGGTTTTTTGTGGGCTGCATTCCACAATACAGAGATGTTGGGGGAAGAGGGAAGAATGGATGAATGAATAAACGAGTGTCTTCCTAGGGCCCTGGCCTCCTCCTCCTCTCTGCTCTGTAGCTCTTCCAGCTCAGGGCTGGGACTTAGTCTGCCACAATGGGCAAGAGACTGGGTGCTCCCACCCTCTGCATGGGCTCTGGAGCCTCAGTGCATGGGGGCTGGGCTGGGGAGCGGGCAGTGGCCGGCTCTGTGCCAGGCTCTGCCCACCCGTTCTGTGGGGGCTCAAGCGTCAGGCTGTGATTCTGTGTATGCTCAGCTCAGGGATTGGATTCCTTATCTCTGGGGGTCAGTCCCCGTGGCGGGGCCTAATGTGAGAGTAGCAGACCTCGGGTAATGACTGGCCGATAGGAATCAGCCTGGCTCCCCGAGGCATTCCGTCTCTGCCAGCTCTGGCGGCTTCCCTGGCGGCTCTCGGTGTTGGCCAGGCCTCCGCCGGGGACAGAGAGGCTGGCTGGGCCCACGGGAGGACCCGCCCCCACTGTGCTGAAGAAGCTGAGGGTGCAAAGAGCTCCTGATTTCAGAGCACAGACTTCTGCTCTCCTGTCACAGAGGTTCGAACCTCAGCGTCTCCACTCTCAAATGTGGGCTTCTCTCAGCCTGGCGTGGCTGCAGCACTTCTTGTCCTCTCATTGCCTTCGGCAAGCCTGGGCCAGGAGCACCTGCAGCCCCTGGCACAAGAATGAGGGTTGCAAGGGGTGGTGGGCAAAGGTGGGTCAGTTGGGCCAGGCTCTGCAGGAAGCAAGGTGGTATTTGAATTAAGGTGGTACTTGGAAAATCAGCTACATTCGGGTCACCTTCGGCAGATACATAACTGGGGGGGGGTTAGTGAGAAGTAGATAACTGGGGGCGGGGGGGACAATGAGTAGTGATAAATAGGTGCCTGGGGTAGACAGACAGGAGCCCCTCTTATGCTCGGGAGACTAACGACAGGCAGGGGGTCAGTTGTTTGCTTGGATGGATGAACATGGGCATCCAATAGGGAAGTGTGCGGGGGACCGATGAGTGCCCCCCCAGAAGGTCTCACTCACTCTGTGGGAAGCGAGGCGGGTTGTCGTTGACATCCGTGACCACAATGGTGACGGTGGTGGAGCCTGAGAGGCCTCCCAGCTGGCCCGCCATGTCCGTGGCCTGGATCACCACCTCGTAGCGCTCCTGGCTCTCTCGGTCCAGGTCGGGCACAGCTGTCCGGATCACACCTGTGGGCAGATGGGGTGATGGTGAGGATGCCCCACCCATTCAGTCCATGTGGAGACCCCTCAAGAGGTGGGTTCTGGTGAGCTCTGGGTCCAGTTAAGGAGGGGAATGAGTGAATGGGGAAGGAAATGTGCTGAGGGCACAGGCGTGGCTACAAGGGAGGGGCAGGGCTCAGGAGCCTCCCCTCTGACACGCCCTGCTTACACACACACACACACACACACTCTTTCTCTCTGTCTCTCTCTCTCTCAATACTTACACACACCCCCTCCTATACACCCCTCACCACTCTTACACACACACAAACACACACACACACACTCTCTCTCTCTCAATACTTACACACACACCCTCTTACACACCCCTCACCACTCTTACACACATGCACACACAGTACTCTTATACACACACCTTTCTATACACCCCTCACCACTGTTACACACACACACACACAGAGTACTCTTACACACACACCCTTCTTCACAACCCTCATCAATCTTACACATACACATATTCAGTACTCTTACAAGTATACACACTCACAACTCTTACTCATACACTGTTACACACACAAACCCACTGCTCTTCCACACTTTCACATATACACACTCAACATACACAGGCACATGCACTAATCTCACACTCTTTCAACAACCATACACAGATACACACACTCTCTCACTCTCTCTCTCATCCAGCGGCCCCAGTGGTCTCCCTCACCCTGGCCCCAGATCCCTTGTTCAGGCACTAGCTAATCTGTGACCAGACAATCCTCTAAACCGTTAATGGCAGCAGGGGTGGGGGCAGGAGGAGGGTGCCTACAAGATTAATTCTGTGGCGGGCCGGCTGCGCGTCTTGTCTCCCTGCCAGGAGAAGAGACTGGGGTGGGGAGGAGTCGATGAGGCATTCAGAGCCTCTCCTGCCACGGGCGCCAACCTGCCGGGCACCAGGTGGTGGCAGGTGGCGTGCAGGGCCTGAGCGCCAGGTGGAGTCACGCACCAGTAGCCCCTTGATGTGTCCCATAAAACCCAAGCACTGACTCTGATGTCCCCAAATAGCCCCAAGATGCCAATAGCCAGGACTGTAAGAAAGGTGTGTGTGTGTGTGTGTGTGTGTGTGTGTGTGTGTGTGTGAGAGAGAGAGAGAGAGATGCTGGGTGGAGCCCCCAGGTGGCCCCACTTTGGGGGGATCACATGGAGACATGCAGTAGGTGTCTTATCTAGTCAAAGGTCCTCAATCAGCCTTCTCCACAACCCTTCCACAAGCCCTCCTCACCCCTCCTCTCATCCCAGGGTCAGGAGCCTTGGAGGTAGGTGGACAAGAGATAATAAATCCCACAGCTGCTACTTTCAGACCATCTGATCTTAATCAAATCCCTTCACCTTTCTGAACCTCAGTTTCCTTAACTATAAAATAGAGACAGCCTCTGGCCCTCCCCTAAGAACAAGGTTTCTCACTCTCAACACTATTGACATTTGGGATGAGATAATTATTTGCTGAGGACGGAAGCTGGCCTCTGTATGAGAGGATGCTTAACACAGCATCTTGGGCCCCTACCTACTCGCTGCCTCAGTTGTGACAGCTCAAAGTGTCACCTGATACCATCGAAGGCATCCTGGGAGTAAAACAGCTGAGAGCCCCTGAGAGTCACTGGGGCTGGGCTTCTCCTCCAGAGAACTGCATGTGATAGTTACAAGAAGAAGAACTAGCATCGACGCATTCGACGCATTCACTCTGTGCCTGGAGTCAATCTGAGTGTCTTAAGCGGATTGTCTTCATCACCCTCTCAAAACTCCTGCAAGGATGGTGCTGTGGTTACCCCCACTTTATAGACGAAGAAATAGAGGTGCGGAGAAACTGAGTACCTTGCCCAGGGTCACACATGTAGAAAGCAAGGACTCTGGGGCCATCGTCCATGCTCTGAACTGCCCTGCTCTCTGATGCAAGGGCCCGGGGACACCAAAAGTATAAACTGCAAGGTGTCTTGGGGCCAACGTGGTTTTTCTTTTTATTATTATTTTTTTAATTATTATTTTTTATGTGTGTACCATCAAATCGGATCTGACTAGTACAGGAGGAGATTGTCCCTCCTTCTCCAGCAGAGCATCTGGTGGATTCGAACCTTGTACCTCTGGGATTGCAGTACAGCTTCTTGCCACTAGGCCACCAGAGCTCCCTGAAGGTGGTTTTTCTTTATACATCAGACAGTTGGTATATTTCTTCAGTTAATCTGTTGAACGATGCAGTCACCATAATTTCTGTTTCTCAACATTAATGGAAACCATTCATTCATTCCACACATGCACTTATGCATAAGCATTACCAAAACCACTCCAATTCCCATCAGTAATTTTTAAAACTGTCATCTTCCCCCAGATGGCTCACCTGTTTGTCCATGGCTACTGTTTACTCTTTAAGAGCCGAGAATAAAGGCTTTTCATATTAATGGCAGCGCAATCTCTATGTTCCTCAAACAGTTACTGTGTGTGCCTCAGCTGAGAGAATGGCGGTTGGAATTCTCATCACTCTGGCAGGTAAGTGTAGGAAACAGAACGTCATCCCGGTGGAAGGCCAAGTTTTGAACGTTACTTAACGTTGCCTCTGCTGCATGCCATTGGCCAAAGCAGGCCATAAAGTCTCCCGTCAGGAGCGATGTCATGCTGGGTGAGGTGGTGAGTCATCAAAAGAGAGGAGGACTCTCACTGAGGTGACTGCAGCTATGGGCTCGAGAGTGTCAGAGGCCGTGAGGATGGCACAGGATAGGACACGGTTCAGACCTGCTGTTCACGGGGACGCTATCAACAACTTGATGGCCCGTAAGAAGCAGCACCATCTATGCCACGGTGCTGTTCCGTCAGCTCGCATGCACGTGAAAAGCGGACGATGGACAAGGAGAGGTGGAGAACGATTAATGAATCTGAGTGCTAGTGTTGGTGAAGAGTACTGACCGTGCCATGGGCTACCAGAGCACAAACAACGCTGCATGGAGGACGTACAGTCAGAAGGTTCCTGAGCAGACAGGACGGGGAGGCTCTGCCTCCCTTTGGGCGTGTTATCTGGAGGGACCAGTCCCTAGAGAAGGCCATCACACAGACTCTGAGATGGACGGATGTCTGTCGTAACAACAGGTTCAAACACAGCAATGACTGTGACGCAGAATCTGGAGTGACGTTCTGATGTGTGTGAGGTAGCAGTGAGTTGGAATTGGATTGATGGCACTTAACCATGTTGATCCTCCTCCTCAAGTCTTTGAAAAAGGTCCCTCAGATACAAGTTTCACAGGGACAGAGATTCTTGCCGGACACGGCCATCATGTCATTGACAGGATCTGCACACGGCAAATGCTCAGCAAACACGCTGACCCTCTGACTTAACCCCCACAGCCCTTCTGCCTCCCTTCCCACACTGCCTGGTGGCAGCTGCTCATTATTTCTGGCTTCTCTGTTGGAACCCAAGTTCTAAGAGGTCAGGATCCAGTTCTAGTTCAAGATCCTGACTTCAAGATCTGACACTCAGAAGGATCTCAGGAAACATCAGGTCCACTCCCTTCCTAGGAAAATGGATCTCTCTGGCTGGGTTAAGGAATTTTCAGTGGAGATCTTCAAGTCTCAGAGAGAAACTTCCTATTTGTGCAGGCTTGCGATGGGCAGGAGATAGTAATTACAATCTGGCTGCAGATCCCCCGCTGCCTAGTCCTCACCCATCGCCCCCAGCTCCGGTTGTTCTCCTCGACGCCCCCACTGCCCCTCCAAACACAGCATAAGGGGTCCCTGGAGCCCTGTGACGCCTCATTAGGCGGCAAATGCCATCGCTGTCACCCCTGTGGGGGGCTTGCCAGCAGGCCTGGCCTTTAAAACACACAAGTTAATTCCTCCGCTGGCACTGGGGCCTGGCGGTGCCCCGCCTCCTCCCTTCCCTCACACCTTCCTCTCAGGCCCCGTTCCGGCTCTGCTCCCTGCTATCTGCACAGCTAGAACAGACTGTACCTCGCAGCAGCTGCTAAATATAGACCCACATCAGCGGAATATTCCTGGCTGGGGAAATGGAGCCGGGGCTGGCGGTGGCACCAGGGCGGCTCCCGCGGTGGGACTGTCTGTGGGCAGGGGGTGGAGAAGTCTGGCCTTGACGGGAACATGTCTAAAAGGACCATTTTGCAGACTGAGAAAGTTGAAGGACCCTACTTTCCCCAGAGCCCCCAAGAACGAGGACCACATCTGGACTCCTTTACCTACTATGCTTGGTGGCCAACTCCTGGGGACTCCTCAGGCTCTCTCAGACCCTCCGGACCTGCCACTCCACCCTCTGTCCTTCACCCTCTGTTGTGGGAGATGCTCTCTCTTGGAAGTTGGCTTTCCTCATCACTCTCCCAGGGTCCTGTCTGTTACCTGCTCAGCCCCGCCCCCTCCTCAGGCTTAGTACTGACGCTTCCCCTATTTCTGAAGAGCTGAGCAGCTCTAAGGTCCTCACTTTCTCTGGCTAAACGGATGAAGGCACCATCATGTCCACCCACCTCCTCATGATTTCCACTTATGCACCGTGTCATCTGTCCACGTTCCCCACTTGCTGCTCCCCTGGCCTGCGGTGCTCTCATGCTGGCCACCCGCAGTGTACACACCCTCTCCACCCCAGCCCACCTCCCTAGAAAGAAACAGCCAACAAGGTAGGTCTACCCTTTACCTAGCTGAAGGTTCTTCCTAGCCATCAGCACTACTTGACAATCTAAGATAATAAGCTCACTTTCTGCGTCCCTATGTGATTAAAAGCTCCGTGGAGACAGGGCCTTTGGTTCGCTGGCCGCTGCACCCCTTAGTGCCTAGAGCAGTCAGGCAGATAATCAAACCAAGCAGCATGCAGTTGTCTCCAAGCTCATGGTGACCTCACGGATATCAGAGTAAACCCTGACTCCTTACAGTTTTCAGTGGCTAATTTTTCAGACGTAGATCACCAGCTCTTTCTTCCTCAACACCTCTAGATGGACTTGAGCCTGTCACCTTTTAATGAGCATCAGAGCATGTTAACTGTTGACATGACCCAGGGACTTGCAAGCATACATCAGACACTCAATAAATGCTTGCTGAAGGAATGGATTCTCCCATTGACCCCTCACAACAATCATGTCGATGGAATATTAGTGCTTTCATTGAGCTCATGGAGAAACCCAAACCTAATGAGCCCTAACTGTTCTCAGAACTCTAAGCTCATATTTCAGACAGATGGCTAGATGTTCTAGAGATTTCTTCCCCTCCTTTCCCTCATCACCTGAAAACCAATATGGTTCACATTGGATCCTCTAGTCTGTACTGGATCCTAGGACACCTTAGCTACTTAATCCACATTCCTTCCCATTTGCATTTCAGTCTCCCAAATCAGAGACCCCCCTGGATTCCTTCTCAGCCTCGCCACACAGTCAACAAGCCCTCAACTTCTAGTGGTTTGTTCTTTGCAGGATCGCTCTGTTACGACTCATTCTCCTCCCTCTTCACCTCCGCTATCCCTAACTATCAATCCTGTACCACCTCTGCCCTTGTAACCAGGCTAAACAGGTCAAGGCATCAGGGTGGGCACCTAAAAAGGGGCAGGATCTCAGCTTTGTCCTTTGGGGCTTTATGCTGGGTACCCGGGGCTCCAGGGCTCCCTGCCTCTGATTCCTGCCTCGAGCCACACGCTCCAGAAGCAGCCCGAGGGATCTTGTTAAAATGAAAACCTGAGCATGTCACTTTCCTGCTTAGAAGCCATCAATGAACATCCCCAGCGCTGGGAGGAGGAGGGGAAGTAGACACTCACTCACATGGCTGATGGCGGGAGTGTAATCTGGCCTATTTAGGCAATATCTATTGAGATTCCAAATGCACATGCTCTTTGACCCAGCTTTTCCACTTCCCGAAAATTATCCTGCAGATACACTCACACGGGCGCAAAATGATGTATGTACGAGGTTATTCATTATAGCATTGTGCGTTGTAGCAAAAGATTGGAAGCAGCGTAAGTGTCCATCAATAGGGGACTGGCGAAATAAATTTCAGTGTATCCATAACAGCAGTTAAATGAAAGAATGAGAAAGCTCTTTAGGTACTGATATGGAATAATCTTCAAGATGTATTATTAAGTGGAGAAAGTCGGGCCTTGTAGACAGGATGTGTGTATAGCTATCGTTTGTATAAAGAGAAAACACTAAACCAAATACATGTACCTATTTTCTTGTACATGCATAGAATACCTTTGGAAAGTCATGCAAGAAAATTACCTTGGTTGCCTTAGGGACAGAGACTTGGTGGCTGGGGGATTGGATGGCGTATAGAATTGTCATTAAATACCCTTTTGGACTCTTTGAATTCTGAACACGGAAATGTGTCCCCTATTAAAAATAATAATATTTTTTAAGCAAATGAATCCAAGATCTCATAGGAGTTCTACACCAAGTGGCTACCCCTGGGACTTCAATTACTAGAGCAGGGAGCGTGGGGAGGGGGAGGGAAGAAGCCCTTTTATTTTCTGTGTTTTTTCTTTTCTTTAATGTTTGAATGTTTCCCAACATGTATTATTTTTGCAAGGACTGAGCAAAGATGGCATGGGAGAGAAAAGCACACAAACAAAACCCCAGATCCATCAATGCCCCCTCCCGTTGTCCTCAGGATAAAAATGCAAGCTCCTTCGCCTGGTCTACTGTCTCCACTCCAGCCTGTGTTCCTGAACCTCTCAGGACTCCAGCCTCTCCAGCCGGCTGGCCTTGCTTACAATTCCCCACATGCCTCCTGCAGTGTTCTTCCACCCAGATCCTGGCTCTGCCACGTTCTCTGCCTGCAATGCCCTTCTCCGAAATCTCAGCCAGACCAACGCTGAGAAGGATCCTTTCGAGATCCGCAGCTTCTGCTTCCAAGAAGCCTTGCTTGCACCCTCATCTCCCTCATGGCCCCTGCCCCCCCACCAAACCATCAGCCCCTTGAGTCTGCGAAACGTTCTATGAGCCTGGGGGCCCATCTGCCCTCACCCTACCCCCTTCCTCCACCCCCTTCCTCCTCTATCAAGGGGGCCATGAGACGCCACCACTCAAGGAACCAAAAGCCTCTTTATGCTGTGTGACCTCACCTGGGTTGCTGCACCTCTCTGAGCCTGTTTCCTCTTTTGTCTCTGCTTCCTGTCTCTCCCAAGACCCTTAGAAAATAAGTCAGATTCTGACCTCATAGCGAGTGAGGTGGGGTAGGATGAGTGTGGGTGCAACTCCACAGCTTGGTGGAGCTGGGGAAGCGGTCGTGACCGCATCTCTCCTTTAAATACGTTTCACCAGATCCCAAATAACTGCCATGGGAAGACAGCTTTTGAAATTGCTAAAAAGTGTCCTTCACGCAACGTCCCCCAAACCTATCCTAAGGGCTGCAGAGAGGCTCGCCTCAATTTAGCTCGAAGAACAAGTGGGGCCACCAAGCTCCCACTTCTAAAGTCCTTTCAGGTCGTTGACAGCTGCTGTCTCCTGACTGTCCTTCTGTAACCTTTAAAGACCCTTCCCTCACAATTGGCTAATTCTCTGTCCCTCAGTCTGCTCCTCTTCTTGTTTGGCTGTCCCACCCGTCACACTGACGTCTTCTGGAGTGAGCAGCATGGCTCCACGTCTCATTTCTGCAGAATCCCTCCTACTGTTTGGAAGAGCTAGACCTGAAGGGCTTTAAGAACAGACACTGGTCTGGGGCTCCAGGCCGGCCCACCTGGCCCCGCCCCCGGGCTCCCGCAGGCCCCGCCCCTTGGTCAGGCCCCGCCCCTGTATAGGCCCCACCTCTCACCAGTCTTGGGGTCCACGGTGAAGTGGTGCTCGCCGTCCAGCACACTGTACACCAGCCGAGCGCTGCTGCCATACGTGGGGTCATCCGCATCTGAGGCCATCACCTGCATCACTGACGTACCTGGGCCCCGGGGACGAAGCAAGACAGAGATTACCTGGGGTGAGTGTACAAATCCCGCTCACCTACCCCATGCCCAGAGAAGCCAGCCTCCTGGCAGCCCTCATCCCCTCACATTCTGTCTGCTTCATGACTGGCTACTTTCTAGTGACACCAAGGTGGCTACGGAATCATCGCATGAGTTCAAATCTCGCTTTAGGGGCAGTTTCTCAAATCTCAAGTTTCCTCTTCACCAAAATAGGAACAACTCTGGACCAAGGGCTGAAATGGAGGGGACGCACTGAAACTCAGGCACGGAGGGGTTCAGAGGAGTGTCCCAATAGGCTGTTGTTAGGTGTCACTGGCTGGATTAATCCACAGCAACTCTGCAGCAGACTAGGAGGTCCCCAGAGCCAGTCCCAGCCTGTGGTCTTCACCGAGACTCCCTGGTGGTGCTGTGATCAGAGCACTGGGCTGCTAGCAAGCTGCTCTGGAGAAGGCTGTGGGATTTTTGTTGCTTTGTTTTGAATCTTTTATGGAAGAAAACCACCAGGCCCTGCTCTCAAAGAGCTGCTAGTTGGGTTCGAACCACCAGCCTTTTGCCTAGCAGTCAAGTGCTTAATCGATGGTGACTGACCACTATAGTTTTCATGCTGTTATTTAAGGTCATCACAGAGTCGGAACCAAGGCTGGGGACCTGGCACCTGACTCCCAGTACAGGTATCTTTCTACCCATCTTGGTCCCCTCTGACCTGGGACAGACTCTCTGTTCACCAGGGGACACCTGCCCATTTGTATCTGAAGTATTCCTTACAGCTCAGAGTTCTGAGTCCCCTGGCCCTGGTGCCCAATGGGCAGGAAGACAGTCATACCCCATTCTCCTTTGAGAAGTGGCTATGTGCAATGGTGGGCTCCTTGCCCCTCCCCCTAGGTGCCCAGACAGCTTTTCCCCAACTCGTCCTTATGCTCCGCACGTAGGCTGCTGGGGAGAGTATAAATTGGATAAAAGTCCATCAAACAGCGGCAATTAAGTTATTGATTTTCGACGCTGCCTCATTAAACTGGGAGCTTCTCTCGGCCTGTCCCAGAGATGGCTCTAATTTGACATCATGTTCAATTTGACGAAAGCAGGGCTTGGGACGTGAAGCTGGACGGGGCCATGGGGGTGTGGGGGAGGGGTCAGAAGGAGGGTCCAGCAACACTGTCAGGTCCAACCTGTCTGCTCCGTCTTCTGGAACCTTCCTGGGAGGGGTCGGGTGGAGAACCTGAGAAGGGAGTCTTCTTGGAGAAGACTGCGGTCCCATTTCTGAGACAGGCCCTCTGCTGGGTGTCCTGCTGTGGAGGGGTGGCGGCTTGGCCTGCCTAGGGTCTGGATGGGACCCTCCTGGGGGCCAGGATGGATTCTCCAGGCCAGCAGGCTGCATGCTGGGAGGCAAGGCCAGTTTACAGCCTGGCTAATGAGTGAGTCTGGAAATGCAACTGCAGCAATTCTGCTAAGCCCAGCCCGCCGCCTGCCTCTCCCGCCTCCAGCCTGGGGCCCTCGATCATTCCAGACAGACACATGTATTTATTTTTCACTCTTTTGCATTTCTCATTTCCCTCTCTGGGTAGCCCCCTCCCAGTCCAGCCTCCTAAACTGGCCCTGCAATGCGCCTCTCTCCCTCTCTCACTCTCTCTCTCTCTCTCTCTCTCTCTTTCTCTCTGGCAGATCCAGCCCCATGTCAACCATGGGAGTTGCCTGGAGAAGGTAAGAAGAAGGGCGGGCATGTCCCCTCCTTTCTGATGTCACTCTCCATGAGGTTTTCACTCAGGGCCAAGTGCATAGGCCTAAATGTCTCCTTTCCACACAGAGAAAGGAACAGCCTCTACTGAGTCATTCATTTAATCATCCTGAATCCTCACAGCATCTCTGAGAGCAGAGAGGTGCCCCTAATGTTACATGTGATGAAACAGGTCACAGCGGAAAAGACAGGAGCCAGGACACACAGTGAGCAAGTGATGAGATTTGAACGCGGGACTCACTGATGTCAAAGCCCTCCTGGGACTTGATGTCAGTGCGGGGCCCGGTGACTCCGGGGATGGTGGCCCACTGGACTGAGTCACAGCCAGTGACCGCTCTCTCACTTAGTAGCAGTTTGACCTCGGGTATGTCACGAACTCTCTGCGCCTCCTATTCTCATTTGTGAAGTAGGATAATTGTACTATCAAACCTCTGGGATTGCTGTGAGAATTCAAATAGATTTCTATGTTCAGCACTGAAGCCAGTGCTGGGCTCGTGCTAGGAACTCAATAAATGCAGGCTGTTGTCATTGTCATCTCAGGAGGCAGTGCCTGGCAGTGTACGATGGCACAATTGTGCCTCCCTCACTGACGTATTGAAATGGGAGAAGACACACAAAGCATCAGGCTCAGGGGTGGGTGCCCAGCAGATAGTGGCTGTTAGAACTATGAGGAGGGAGGGTCCTCCCTGACACTCCCCCGCCCTATCTCCAGGGCCAGGCACAATGCTGGCTGAGTGACTCCCCAGAGACCAGGCTGAGCCCTCCCTCTCTCCCTGGCTGCATCCCAGAGACTCCCTCGGGGATGGTGGAATCATTTCCTCAATCCGGGGTTCTTTATTGCAGCCATTACAGTTAATGCGGACATGCCGGGATGGTGAAGGGTCAGTGATTCACCACCTCAAGTCCCAGACCCCCGGGGAATGGCTCACCCCCCCTCCACCCTTACCTTCTTCACAAGTCAGCAGATCCCCTCAACTAGTAGATAAAAAGGTGCCCGGTTTGTGGTGGCCACTTTGGGATCACCACCAGCTGGTCCACAAGAGAAAGATGGGGCAGTCTCCTCTCATGCAGTTAACTGCTTCCGAAAACTGGCTAGAGGGTCAGCCATGGGCCACTTCCAACTCAACGGTACACAACAACTACTGGGTCTAGCAGTTTCTATGCTGCAGGATACCACTGGGCCCAGTCTCCTTCAGTCCTCGCACCAGCTCATGATGAGGTTGTGATGGAAAATGTGTCATCATGGCGCTGGTGAAGGAACTCCTGGTTTGTTGCTTTTGCTGACTTCTGGGGTACAAATCCTCTATCCTGGGTACTTTCAAATTACCAATGGGACATCAGCTGGCTCACAAAACTCCAGAAAAATCATTACTGGACTCTCGTGAGCTGATATGAGCCAGCTCCAGAAGCAAACCACATCTTTCTCATTTGCCAGTTGAAGAGAGGTCTATGCATAGTTAAGGGTTAAAATGAAAATGAGTAAGACCGGTTACTAGTTCTATATCAGCACTTGTCTTGAACCATCCTCATGATCAGACCCAACCTTTGTGAGTCACAGGGTTTTTCACTGGTTGACTTTTAAAAGGAGATGGCCAGGCCTTTCTTCCTAGTCTTAACCTGCAAGCGCCATTCAAACTTGTTCAGCTTCAGAGCAACACAAACATCCACCGACAGGCCATCAGTGGCTCTGTATGAAGGGTATGGTTGACAGTCAAACTTGAGTCTCTCAAATATCCATGAAAATTCTACCACTGAAACACAAGCATCTCACTTGATAATAACTCTCTCTCTCTCTCTCTCTCTCTCTCTCTATATATATATATATATATATATATATATATATATATATATATATATATATATATATATATATATTTCATGTTAAATGCTATGGTAAGAATCATGTATCTCATGAATTTGATATGAAGCTTGGAAATAAACTCTATTAGAATTTCCATTTTAAAATGAAGGCAGAGTGAAATGAAGTACAAGTTTATCTTGCAAACCCAGTTTGTCTGATAGAAAATATCAGTGTATCCTGCTTGGGCATGGGGGACAGTGGATAAGATTAGATGGGAAAGTGAGAGCTTCAGAGACAGAAAAGGAGGAGAAAAGACAGGAGTTGGGGTCAGCAGTCCTGGATAGCCCAGCTGAGTTCAAGGTGGAAAAAGTCAATGGGGCAGAGACATCTGCTGTCCATGGTGCTGATGTCAGCCCTTTGCTCGTTTGGAATGAGGGTCTGTATTTGGCCTGGACTGGGAAGTACTGTGCTAGTGATTACTGGGTAAACAGGACCTCAGGACCTAAGGATCCATGTAGAATGGCACAGCTGTCAAAGCTGGTCCGTGGAGAGCCAGGAACAAGTGGTTCTCAACCTCCTTGTGCAGAAGAATCTCCGGGGAACTTTAAAATACAACATGCTGAGCCCAAACCCAGAATAGGGTCTCTCTGCAGGTGGGGGGGAGGGGGGGAAAGGAACTTTCATTAAGCTCTCAGAGGGATTCAACGTGCATCTCAGGCGGAGAACTGCTGTCCTAGACTCAACCTCTTACTGGACAGATGAGGAAACTGAGTCAGTCACAGAGGTGTCTGTGACCTTCCCAAGGTCACATCATTAGCAAGTAATGAAAAAGAGTCAAGCCAGGCCTGTCTGTCTGTCATGCCATCCTCTCCATGCTATTGTGTCCTTGCTGTGACTAATACCTAAACAGGCCACCAAGACAGCTGTCCTCTTGACATGTGAAGCCATTGTGAGAGGAGACACTCAGTGGAGAAGAGTCCTCCACATCTCCAGGGAGACTGAGCAGACTGTGGCATCAGAGTTCCAGGTTCAAATCCCTCTACTTCTTCACTATGTGTCTAGCTCAAGTCTTCTCCTAATTTGAATTGCATCCTCACCTGAAATATTGAAGGGGCAGAGTGGTCTGCTAAGAGGATTAGTGATCAAAGATTTAAATGTTTGGCGAAGCTAAACAGGCAGTGGGCACTCAACAGGAGTTCATCCCTTCTCCCACTCTTTGTATGGTCAGGATGGTGTATCACTGGCCTCGAACAGAAGACGACCCTTGAACACATCAGGAAGGAGAAAGCTTCCTGTCTACCCCTCATTTCTGCTTTATCTGGTAGCTCTGATGAGATCTGTCGTGGAGTCAAAATTGAAATCCATGTCCTGGCTCTTGGGATTTAATTCTTTATTTTCTTTTCCCTCAGTCCTCACCATGTGTGAGGGGCATCTGAGCCCCT